AAGGGAGGGCTGGAGGGGGCAGGAGCTCTGGTCCATCTCTGTCCAGGGGCACACACAAGAATTCAGGAGCCACCACACAGCTCCCAGTAGTCACAGCCCAGGGCAGCGATGAGGCAGCACCCATGGGTGCCTCTCAGGTGCCACCAGGTGTCCCAGCTCCTGGGACCCTGCAGCCACCCCTCCCTGCTCCAGCAGCTTCCCGGGATCTCTGATGCCCAGGTGGGAGAGCCACGGAGCCAGCAGAGCAGCATTTCTGCCGAGCCTCGGGCTCCGGGCGTGCCAGGACAGCCCTGCAGGGCGGGGAGCCAAGGGAATGTCTCCTTCCTGCACGCCGGGATCCCTTTAGGACAAACCTGGAATGGGAGTTGGGAATATGGGATACAGCCGGCATGTCCTACACAGCYCTTGGGTTGGTTTGGTGGAGCTGCAGCCAAAACACCCCTAAAAAATATCCCCTAAAAAACACCCCCTAAAACCAGCCCCTGAGAAACACCCCTTAAAAAATACACCCTGAAAAACAGCACCTGAAAATCATCCCCTAAAAAACACCTCCTAAATAGCACCCCTTAAAAAACATCCCTTAAGAAAATACCCCTAAAACCAGCCCCTGAAAAACACACCCTAAAAAATATCCCCTAAAAACCACCCCCTAAAACCAACCCCTGAGAAACATCCCTTAAAAAATACACCCTGAAAAACAGCACCTGAAAATCATCCCCTAAAAAACACCCCCTAAATAGCACCCCTTAAAACACATCCCTTAAAAAAACCCTAAAAACACACCCCTAAAAACATTCCCTCAAAAACACCCCTAAAAACAGCCCCTTAAAAAACATCCCCTAAAAAACATCCCTAAAAATCATCCCTTAAAAACACCCCCTAAAATCACCCCTAAAAAACACCCCCATAAAAACTGGCCCCTAAATAACACCTCCATAAAAGCCACCCTCTAAAACACCACCTACAAAAAAAAACCCATAAAAACACTCCCTAAAAAACACCCCCTAAAACCATGTCCACCTCGCTGAAAACCCCATAAACACAAACCCAAGAGTCTGAGCTGCTCTCGGTGCCTCTGCTGGTGGGAGATCCCACAGGAGAGGCGTCATCCAGCCGGGATCAGGACAGCAGCAGGGCCCCAGGATTAGCTCAAAACCCCACAGGCCTGGGCTGAGCCCGTTACACAACAAACACTACAAACCAAACAAACCCTTCAAACCCTACAAACCCMAAAAACCCTACAAACACAACAAACCCTACAAACCCAAAAAACCCTACAAACCAAACAAACACAACAAACCAAATAAACACAACAAACCCTTCAAACCCAACAATCCCTACAAATCCAACAAACCCCCCAAACCCAAAAAAACCAACAAACCCCACAAACCCTACAAACCCAACAAACCCTACAAACCCCACAAACCCTACAAACACAACAAACCCTTCAAACCCAACAAACCCTACAAACCCAAAAAAACCAACAAACACAACAAACCCTTCAAACCCAACAAACTCTTCAAACCCTTCAAACCCTCCAAACCCAACAAACCTTACAAACTCTACAAACCCTTCAAACCCAAAAAACCCTACAGACTCAACAAACTCAACAAACCCTCCAAACACTACAAACCCTTCAAACCTTACAAATCCAACAAACCGAACAAACCCTACAAAACCAAAAAACCCTACAAACCCTTCAAACCCCACAAACCCTACAAACCCTCCAAACTCCACAAACCCCACAAACCCAACCCTGCTCGGCTCCAGCGCAGCCCCAGCTCTGACCTGCTCTTGCCCTGGGGCTCATTTTTCCTGCTCCCAGATGTTTCTCTCCCTCCCCTCTCCTTCTCTCTGGGGGATTTTGGGGCYGTTTTAGGGGGGTTTAGAATCCTCCCAGTACCCTCCTGTTCCTGCTCAAGGTGGGGATTTTGGGGAATTTTTAGGAATTTTGCAAGATTTGGGGCTTTTTTCCAGGGATTTTGGGGTGAAATTGGGCRATTGTGGGGCTTTTTAGGGGGGTTTAGGACCAGCCCTGTACCTTCCAGTCCCTGCTCAACGTGGGGATTTTGGAGAACTTTTGGGAATTTTTGGAAATTTGGGAAATTTTTGGAGTTTTGTGTTTTTTTCCCCAGTTTTTTTGGGGTGAAAATGGGTGATTCTGGGGCTGTTTTAAGGGGGGTTAGGACCCTCCTTGTACCTTTCAATCCCTGTTCAAGATGGGGATTTTATGATTTTTGAGGGTTTTTGAGAGTTTTGGGATTTTT